CTCAAAATGGGGTAAAATGGGTTGTGATATCAGTTTGAAACAACCAGAGCTTGGTCATAACATTAAACTGTCATATTTTCATGTCAAAGCAGGAAATTATGGTTTAACTCATCGGTTTTTTTTACATCGTGTTCAGAGCAACAAGTCTTTTTTCTTTCATGACAATCTAACGTCTACCGCTGTTAGGAAGAGCCACAGTCTTTGTGTGCAGCTGACTATTGAATCAGTAGGAAAAGAGAATGTACTTGACTCATTCCTGCTTTAATAACTGGCATAGATCTAAACCTAATGAATTCAGGAAGAAGATGTAGAGCCCTTATACTGCTTGTGATATAGTCATCTTTTTGATTCCCATGATCATTGCATCAAATAGAATATCTGTCAAATTGTTCCTACAGTATGTCGTTTCCTTCACGATGCATTTGATGTCTGTTGTCTGTATCAACCCTTTATTGCGAATCAGAATTAGTTGTGCCTTGGCCTACTTTCCAAACCATCGAGGAGCAAATAATCAGCTCAGGCTTAGGATTTGCCTGGCAGTTTCTCAAATGTGGATGCTTGTGAAACATCCTTTTTTTTTGCAAGTGTTGGGTTTCACTGAGGGACTTTCAAGAGTGTTTCTTTGACAGGGAGAATACTGAGAGTGCCATCTAGAGTGTGATCGCAGGTGGTTCATCGCAGAGAGCTGTGGGTTAGAGGTGATTTCTAAAAATGTTCACTCTTCTTCCTTATTTACATGCAGTATATTCAATTATATAGCCCTTCCTTTGTGTGCATGTCATAGGATAACATTTGGACGCCCAACATTTCCATACTTTTTCATTTATTTACTCTGAAATCTGAAAATTCAGAGTCTGAAATATACTGATTATAGCATTTTACTCAAAAACTCAATAGGATTTTGGACTTATTTACTTTATGGACTTTCTCGTTCGCTGCCTCTCGCCTTTTTCTAGTCAAGTGTATTCCTCACAGCACAGAAGTAATGCCAGCACTTTATCCAGTGCCAGAAATTGCCTGGAGGTTTATAAATGAACTACTGATACAAATACCCCAACACCAGTTACCGAAAAAGAAAAGAAAGCCGGGAATCATCAGAGGCTCAAAACTCTTTTGATGTATTATCCACCTTCATTTGATTTCTTCCTCTTTTTATGCATTGTCTTCCTTTATAGTTGGCTCTACTGCACAAATATCCCTAACAGTCTTTGCTGATTGCGTTTCACAAAGATTTTTCCAATCACCATTTTCATCTTGTTTTAATTAAACCCTTTATTGGACAGAGACACGGCTCTATATTTGAGAGAAAGGATTGGAAAATTACTAATACCTTATGCTGACCTTTCTCTATCGCTGCCTGCTGGCAAGACTATGCAAAGCAATTTCCCCAACATATTTATCTCATCCAAAGCACACCTTAGACTTAATCCTAATGGCCTTTTCATTAGCCTTATAATTGAGCAGCGTGGAGAGTGTTAAAATGTCTCTCAGCCGCTTTTGAAAAGTAGCCCCGCGTCAGATCCAGCCTATACACATTCATTTGGGTAGTTAAACCCACGTTAACCTCCAAGTGAAGTCATCAATCACGCAAATTCTCCCTGCCTTATTTTTAATCTGACTGTGTGACACAGTAAATAACCTGCTGGATGAATAGGAGTCTCGGTGACATTTGCATATTAACCGTGTGTGTCACAGCAGTTGGGGGAAATGTATGTGATTACATTATTAACCATAATCTCCTCACAAAATGCTGGCTCTTCTTTAGTACATCTACTTTACATCACATACAATACATACATTTTATTTTAATTGCCGGATGATTGTTAGACATCTTGGATTGCATGGTGATGGTAAATGTGTGAACGTAGTATTTACTCATTCAACAGTGATAGATACGTTTTTTTCTAAATGATAGGCAAAATGTAAATTAAAAACATAAATACATATCTGTATACATTTCAAATTTAATTACAAAAAAGAAATCCACTTTACATACACGATAGAAACAAAACAATCTACTACACAATAAATCAGCATCAATATGAATACTATGTACCAGATGAAGAGCCAATATCAAAACATTAAGTACCTTTAGAATAAAAGGATGTTAAAGGATTTCAAATCCTTGGGCGGATAACAGTTACACTATTTGGACTAGAAAGCTGTTCGCATTAATCAGATACTTCTTCCACAGATTACATCACTGATTAGCGTTTGAAGCATGCAATTCTTTCCAACCTTGGGTATTCATCCAGACTAACAAAAATAATTGTAATACAGTGCCTGCTCTGTATGAATAATAGGCTCTAATCAGAATCTCTTCATAATCAGCCCAAAGAGGCTTTCTCATCCGCATTTCAAGACATTGGTGTGAAGTTTGTGCAACAGCCAGTAGATGGCAGTACTTCCTCAGCGTGTCTGGACAGGCAGTGGATGCAGGTAGATTATACCAGAGACAAAGGTCAGATAACACAGCCCTGTTGACTAGGAGCCGGTCAACACATACATATCTCCAGGGACTTTCTCAAGTGCCTAGCGCGGCTACTTAGTGTGAGATTTGCCAGAGGAAGAGGCAGAATTCCCATTTCCACCTCAGCAAAATGAAATAAGAATCCCCTGGGATTTGACTCTGACCTTCCTGACTCTCACTGCTGCTGAGTGATTACTGAAATATAAGAAGCCAAAGGGTGTACTGTTATATTAACTATATAAGGGTTTTCAGGACATGGGAATGTGAGACGACACATATTAATAGTGATTATCTTCTAATTAGCATTTCACTAACTCCTTCATTAACTTTAATTCAGAGTCAAATGGAGCAGGCAGGCCCACAAAAAGGGTTTAATATAAAAACAAGAAGATACAATAGTGTCTGCATTAACCAACAATCCTCAATACTGTACGGTCTAATATAAGGGCAATGCCAGTCTTGTTTGTTTAACGTTTAGTGGACAGGAATTCCTTTGGTTCGCTTCAGACCTGCATGCATTTTATTGGCTTGTGTGGGATTTGGGCAGGAAACCAGAGCTAATGCCCCCTCTCCCACTTCAAACGGATGCCAGGCACCCTTAAATGTCATGGGGTGGTTAGAGAGTTGAAGGAGGTGGGAGGGACGGACGGACGGGGGAATCGAGGAGTGAGAAACTGGGGTTCGCTGGGTCGAAGGGAGAAATCCAGCCACACCACGCTGGCCTCGCAGCTTATCAGTGTGTGCCGGGTATAGCTTTAGCAAGGCTGCTAAGGCAAACCAGATGCAGTGTAGCTTGCTCTGTGCCACTACGTGTCAGGTACAGCCTGGGTCAACCTGAGGCGCCTGGGTAGTATAGGAGGAGGCCGCTGTACCGTTCAAACTCACTGCAGATGTTCCTGAGCAGCGTACAGTAAGAGTGTCGGCTCCTGCAGTTCGTCTTCTTGACTCAACGGCATCCTTTTCACGGTGTCACTTCAATTACTCAACCCGATGGATTTGCTCTGCATTTTAGATTGACAACTCGCAGTGGTTTATAGCTGGAGTATCAAAGCCTGTGAGTGTGTGTTCTGTTGGTCACTAGGAATCCCACGGTGTCTTTCTTCTCCTGCCAGCACCAGTGTTTATAGGATTTTGTCTCATTTTCTCCAGTGTTAATTTATTTCCATAAAGGCAGCCATGACACATTCTCTCCTCTGCCTTCTGTCTCTGTGTGGCTTTACTTTCTGATCTGTGAATGTTCCCCCCGTCTTTCTGTGCTGAATGAAAGAACAGACCTGTGTGACCTCAGTCCCGGCTGAATGGTTATTTTGACAACAAGTTTCATCATCAGTCAATTTTCCCTGTCTTTATCTCACACCATCTCTCTCTTCCTCTCTGTGTGTCTGCTCTCTGCTATTGCATTGCTTTTTGATGTGAGATAACTTATCACTATATTGTCACGCTTGCTGAGGTATGTCATTATGGTTCATTTGTGTCAGTGGGTAAATGAACATGTTGTGGAACCCTTGACTTCAATTTCCCATGTCTGCGACTAAATCTCTCCAATCTCCGGCTCACCGAACTCCTCCCTCCCTCTGGGTCTGTTTGACAACCAGAAAATACCATCTCTCTCATCACCGGGATTATATCGAGCTCCTTTGCCTTTGATTACAAAACCATTAATGCACAAATGTGTTGGCGACTGACCCGTGACCTTTCTCATCAACTGAAAGCGGCCTCATCACTTCTCCTCTCAGGCTCTTTGGACCCCGGGGTCTGGGTCAGGGTTTGTGCTGTCTTTCTGTCAGACTCGCATGATCCACTGCCACTTAACGAGGGAGAACAAGGCTGAGAAATGAGGCATTTCCGAGCCCAAGGGTTTATTTCTACAGCATAGGGGATTACATTACAGAACAGAAAGGGGAGACGCAATTCATTTGTTTAAAGGAACTGTCTACACTGTCCCATGCTAGTGTTTAGACTTCAAAGAGAAAACAGGATGCAAAGATGTGTCTTTACACTATGTCACATATTTCCTGACTCTATCTTTATTTATCTGTTAAAAAAGGTGAAGCATACTGTGTCCTCATCAGGCTTGCATTGTTCTGCCCTCAGGAATTACTCTGCTGGATGCTAAAGAAGAAATGCTTATCACATGGAGTGTCGGGTTCTTTATTTGACTCGGTTTGTGTTCTGCAGTTTTTTTGGAAACATGCTTTTCATAGGGATTCCACAAACATTGGAACAATATAGAATGTACATTATAATTTGCAGAGAGCCGAGTTATGTACATATGGTGATGCTTTAAAGTAGAACAAAAGTCACAAAAAACTAACATTTCATTACAATGTGACGTTCCTAACTGTTTTGTTGGCAATCTACAGTATAGACAAAATGTTATCAAAACAATAAACACTACCATATATGGAGGTAAATAACTAACTAACAAAAGATGACATTCAAATTCTGGGTCTTTCTACAGACACATCAACTCCCATTTTGCTCACTCTCATCAACACTGGCACTAGTCTCTTCTCTCTCCGTCGTATCATCAGATGGCCATCACCTTCCGGCGAGGAGGGGTTTCCATGGTGACCACTTCCCTTGCTGGGCAAATTGTTTGCATGGGATCAGGGTTGACGCTGCGCTGCAGGACCAGAGGGTGCTGCTGGGAGGTGGGGGTGGGCGGGGGTGGGGGCTGGCGAAGGACCACAATTTTAGCGCTGGGTCCCTGCAGCAGGATGTCAGTCAGCTCTTCCTGTGTGGAGTTGACCACGGGCACACCATTCACCTCCACCAGCCTTACACACATAAACATGCAAAAACAAGTCAATGTAGAAAACTGTGATTGATATCATTAATAAAACCCCAAATGTTGTGTTGGTAACATAAAGAAGAAAGCTGACGGGGGAATTCTCTTTCAACCTTTTGAAGTATCAAATGCTTATTTGGCAGGATTCTCTCTACAGGTAAAGGCAGAACCTCTGTTAGGCTTATTTGACAAGCAACATCAAAGACTTCACAAATCACACTACATGAAATATTAAAACCAGCACCTTCACACAGAGCTAAGGTTAATTTCCCTTCATTGGTTTTTATTTATAGCCAATTGGATAAAACTGACAGATGAATAGCAACCCCTTTGTGTTTTTTGATTAGCTCTGAAAAGAGCATTGGCACAGTTGCCACAACAAGTAAACACGCACAGCGAGGCTCAAAGACTTTTCCAGCTTCTGTTCCCTCTCTGCACTGTCATGCCGACTTCTCTTTCTTTGGGCGTGATTGTCTCAAAGAGGGATGTCAGCGTGTGTGTGTGGTACGTGTGAATACGCATAGTGCTGCGTTTGTAAGCATGGTCTTGTAATGCATTAATTACTTAATTATAATAGAGCCTTTTATCTTCTGCTTTTCACTCTTCTTCATCCAAGTATTACATTACAGTGTTGTGATTGCTTTGGGGCCAATATGCGATGGGTTTCCATAGCTACAAAACATAGAAAAATAGTGTGATGAAAGAAATGGGTGTGATGTGTGACACACTTAATACTACTCTCACTGACTAGGTGGCCTCTGTTAACACAGCCACGATTGTTTAATTAAGCCTGGATAAAGGACATGGTTTCTTTTGTGTTTGTTTGCGTGTTACCTGTCGTCCACACAGAGGGGGGAGTCGTCCACTCTAACCACCACCAGTCCGCTGCCTTCTCTGAGGCGGCACGTAAAGCCATAATGGCCGTCAGGGTTGTGGTTCTCCTGCACGACCAGCAGCATGGCAGGAGACTGCGGTGACACTAGCTGGCTCAGGCTACCAATGGCCAAACTCTTTTTCCGAGCTTTCTCCTGAATGTAGAAACAGCAATCATACATTCACATATGCAAAGGCACAGACCGCTTTAATGTAAATGATTCAGATTTTAAGGCACACCCAATTTGTGGTGGGTTGATGTACATTTCATGTAAAATGTGCTATGTGTGTGACACAAGAAGTAAGCCATATTCATGCCTTAATTATTTGACTTAAGTCGTATGCTCACGCTCTGATTAATATCGAATTTAAAGTAAATTTGCAATAAGTAGTAGCTTTTTGCAAAGTTCTCCTATTCACTTTCTTGCAAAGATTTTGATGATCTAATAAACAGGTTTTAACTTGTTTCTTTATTCACTACAAAAAACTAAGTGTGAAACGACAAGTTGTGGATTTACTGGGAATTATGTTCTGGACTTTTACTTGGCCGGACTTCCTGGAGTCTTGTCACCACTGTGAGTTTGCCAAACACACTATTTAGTTGTTTTGTAGGGATTATAAACATATTTTGTAACATGTTTACTAGTGAACTATAGAGGTGCTGGTAGTCAGATGTTTTGCTACAAGGCCAGGCTTGCTGATTCACTGTTGCCAACCTTTATCATTCAACTTTTCTGCAAGAAAACAAATAAGATGTTTTTCAAAATGTCAAACTAATCCTTAGGGTATATTCAATGGCAGATGGTTAGAGAGATTTAAAAGAACCTAAGTGCAACCCTATCGACTCAGAGGATCTTTAAAACATTCAGAGGTGTGATTCTGTGTCCCTGAAATAATACATTATTATAGTTTCCTCGGGATACAATCATAAGATTATTTCTCAGAAAAGGATTATAGATGCCACTACATGGAGGTCCCGAACTGATAAGACTGAGGCTGCGTCAAAGCCAGAAGACCACCAAGATGTAATGATTAGCGTTGGAAGAGATCACACCACAAGTAGCTTGCAGGGATCAGAAATAACTTGTGAGTCGGACCACTGAATTCCAATGTTCCCTTATCCAGCCTCTTGGCATACTCACCCCTCCCCCTGAACGACATGTGAATGCCTCGCAGCAATAGATGCCGCCTTGCCAGGGTCAGGGGTCAAAGCTAAGGCTTCTCTTTCCTCAGACAAGTAGGCCAGACAGGATATATCCGCGGAAACGCAGGTGAAGCCCCTTGGGAAGCACACTCAAATACGCATCATTTTCCCTTTTAGTTTGCCTCAATGTGGGACACACGCTGAGAGGCCAAGGAATGTTCTCTTCATATTCTTCTTGTTTATCCAAATGATCTTTATTAAGTCCTAATCTACCTGGGCCAGGCACAGGGCACACATCCCACATACACACTGGATAGTTTCAAAAGAGACAATTACAACACAAGAATTCAAGTTCTAAAAGGTCACTTGGGTGACAAACCTCTCTTTCTCTATTAGAAAAGGGAGATTTTACCTTGCAAATTCCCTAAACACAATCATTTGCCTACTTTACAGGAAGCGACAACATGATCTGTGAATAGACTTTGTTTCCACCAGTGTGAGAACCGATCATCGCAGCTTAGACAACATACTGGAAGGGATTGCATTTCATTTATTATGATGGGTGTTGTAATTTCTAAATTCGGTGCTGTCATATTGAATGTTGACGCCTTGGCTGCTCCATCAGCAGAGGTCTGCAACACAGTCAACATGTGAGTAGGACATGGTAGACAGATTAATGGAACATATTCTGACCACATTGATGAACTGGTATCAGGAGTGTTTCCACAGAACAAATACTTCAGGTAACTTGTCCATTTCTTAAACTCAGGGGCATGCCAGGGCAAAGAAATGGCAGACTTTTCTCACAACTCAATCCATACTAAACAGACATGTGAGACTAAAGAGTGGGAAAACAATATTCTTCCAATTTCCCCTCTTTAATAGTCTGTCTGAAGTTTTCGAGTTGTCCAAGCTAAACTGCTTATTTAAAATAATTTCCGCCGTTTGTTGTCCTTCCCCTCCTCCCCTCACTTTCTCCCTCTGTTTCTCTTTCTCCTCCCCTCCTCTCGGCTGCTTTATTGATGCTCTCCAGTTGCAATGGATCCTGGAGATTAGACTGCCGATGATGAAATATTTCCTTATTGTCTGTAATGCGGGGCAGCCTACGAGACCAAACGCGGGGCGGTCTGCTCCTTATTAGAGCTGCAGCTCCATCAGTTCCCAGGCTGCTCCTCAGCTCTGACCTGTGTGTTAACTCTGATTAGGTCATATGATAAACATTAGCGCTGCTGCTTTTCCCACAATCTCAGCACCTAAAGAAGCGTGGCCCCGGGGCGGCAACGTGACACGGAGCACCTTTCAAAGCCGAAGCCGCGTGTGTCCTTTCATGGCACCTCGTTAGGGCTCCTCCAACGGGATAAAAGAGCCACATTAAAAAAGAAGTAGACTCCTCCGGGGATAGATGCAGATAGTTTTACACATGCTGGCCCACTTCTCCATTGCACTCTCCCAGTGGCTTTTGTCACACACATTCCATTGTTGGTATGGTCACAGGCTCTCGGATGTCAGCACCAAACATCATTTTCTCAGTAAAAGTGCATGTTCAACCAAAAGACTTCACTCAGCCTTCTATACTCTCTTTTAAAACGGCCCAACTTAACACAACAGAGTGGACAGAAAGGAGCATTGTGCTGTCACTCAGGAGAACAATGGAGAGAAGATCAAAGATGATGGACATAATAGTGTCAAGTAATGACCCTCCGCATCAGGAAACTGTTTAGTTTAGCACCTGTGCTATTTCTACTGATGGTCAATTACATAGAATAATAAATTAACTTCACATGTTCTGTGAATTAATGCATCCTCCGTCCGTGGTTTGAACAATATGGATTGAATTAGTAAGGAAAAGGCCAGTTATGCTGTTTCAATTGCACAAGTGTTTCTGATATAGTTAAAGGCATAAGGGAAACAGCATCAGCCATGGCATTTTTATCCAAAAACAGCAAATTTGTCTGTTTATTTTAGGAAAAAAATGATTTTAATGTCCCATACAACACATTCTTCCCTCAATAACTAGCATAGTTTGCTTCAAATCTCTGTTTTTCATTGTTTATTTTTAGCAATCAAAACATTTTCGAACTCAGGCCGTACAGCTTTCCCACATATTGGTGTGACCGTGTTTCACATGCTACCAATTAAAGCCCACTGACAGAGTTCCAGACTCCAGCTTGTTGGTCTTAGTGACGGTACTGTTTCCCAGTTACCTTATCATAGCTTTCCTGCAAGGCATTTTGGAGATAAGCCACCTGCCGGTTGAGATGTACCATGGAAATCTCCTCTTTAAAGACTTGGCAGTTCAGTTTCATCTTTTCCAAGAGGCGGACATCCAACTGTCTGAGTGGCAAGAGACCACATTTCAGAAAAGGTCATGTGTATACATATAAACATGGTTGAGAAAACTTTAAAATGCAGCAATAAACAAAGCAGATGGTTTATTTTCCTTAATGCTTTAACACTTATGCACAAGCGTAGTAGCAATATGTCTACATTTTAACTTTAAATTATAAAGGCCTGCAGGTGGGTCTGTTCTGGTCATTAGATTTGGTAAAACAAAAAACAGTCTTAATGATTATTTGCTAATATTAGCTATTTATTTACTTATTCATTAACAGACAACTCCCTGACTACTTTTTGGTTTACTGGACCAAATAGAGTATACATGAGTGAATGCTAGTCGAAGACAAACAAGTAACACTGACAAAAATACATTAGACATTTGCTCAAATGAGTTATTTCAGATCAATGGGCATTGTGTCCATCCAGTCTTTAATCTAACTGCCTTCTGTGTCTTTGCCAGTTGGAAGAAAAGTTGAATGCGTTGCTGAACAAGCTACTAATTAACAGAGGCAGTCCACCTACTTGTTCTTGTGAGCACTGGAGTTGTTAGTGTTGTCTTTGAGGGTCTGCAGGCTCTGCCTCTTGTCGTTCACTCGGCTTATAACCAACTCTAGCCTGGGCTTCAGATCAGCAGAGCCAAGCCCCTTTACATCGGCCTCTCTATCCATGTTCTTTATCTCTGAGCAAAATTCTACCAGGCCATGATGGAGCTCCTGGACCTTTGGGGTCAAAAAAATAATTTTTCAGTGGAAATTCAAATCACCACTTATTTGCCTGTAACATATGTTCATAGATGTAGTCTAAAGAGATAATGACCTGAAGAATGACATTTTGCAGCGAGTCCACCTGTTGTTTTAGCTCCTTGATCCTCTCTTCTTTAGCTGCCTGGATCACCGTGACATTTTTGTTGACGTTCTCATTTGAGCTGTTTACTTCTGGATTATTTAGCAAAGCTCCATCCGATAACTTCTTCTAAGATGCAAAAGCATACAGAGAGGTATGTTGTTAGATGTTTTATGTCAGATAAGGCGGTACATTAGGTATAAATGATCAGCGTTACCGTTTTACACAAGTGGAGCTCCAGTTGTCTGTTCCCTGGTGTGGATGTCAGTAGGCTCCCAATCTGCTGATCTGGCGGGAGCTCCTCTGATGAACCTAAAGCACATTGCAGTATATCAATACATGTGTCTGTTTCTTTAGCTCATAAAGACGAAATGATGTGCTGTTCACCTTGCGTTTCCTTCAGAATGAAGAGGCTCTTATCTTCTGTCATGGCCAACATTTTAAAACATGAATCCATGATTTTTCCCACTGTTGTGTCCTTTGGGGTTCTGAGATGAACTATCCGCTCTGAGGCTGCAACAAAACAATCAGAATGGTATCAAGACCTGATTTATTCTTATATAAGTTTACATTATGAATATCAAAGCAATAACCAATCCACAGGCTAGACACTGCATAAAGTGACCTTATGTGACCATTAGTGAATATTTATTATTCTACTACTCTACTTACATAATGCCAATAAACTTAGCTTTATTTTTAAGTGTAGTTGCACTGCATACAATATTTACACTTTTTTTTAACGAGTTACTCACCATTAATAGTAATCTCTATTAGTTGGGAATTCCTCTGTGTCATGAAGTTTGGGCTGGTCCTTTGGTGGAAGAGGAGATTAAAATAAGATTTACATAAGTAAATACATTTCAATAATTAAAAATGATATTTACGAGAGGCTGTACCTGAGCTTCAGGGAACGCCGATTCCTGCTCAAGCAGCTCACGTGAGGAGAGGACTTAGATTTGCTCATTGATACTAGTGATGTAGTAAATGTCTCAACATTGTTAGGCCCTATAGATTCTGTGGAAAGACAAATCTTCATGACATACTGAATTGAAAAGCTGTCCAGTTAAATGTTTATTTGTCAGGTTGTATTGATGGAAGTATACCAAGCAGCGAGTTGAGTCTCTGGGTGATGGTGCTGGGAGGGTGCAGCTCATTATAAATGGCAGACAGCAGCAGCTCCCTCTCCTCCAGTGTGTTGATATGCAGGATGTCCAGAGTGTTCACATCCACTGAAGCTACGTCTGCTCCACACAGTTTCACCTCTGAAAGAGAGACATGTTGTCGTCGTCCACCAAGATACTTCACGAATAATGTATTATTGCATAAAAACCCCTCCAGTTTTATTCAGTGACCTTGAATGATCCTGCTCTCCTTATTCCATTTATTAAAACGCTTTTGATTTGATTTGTGGCAAAGATAAATCAAATCAGCAATGTCTGCCTTTTACTGGGAGAGGAGACTGTCAGAAAAAAGTTTTACCGCTGATGAAAGGAAGACATTTCTGCAGTCCAATGCTGGTAAACCACTGGCAGACTTCCTCTGTGTTCAGCTCAGCCAGACGTTTGGCCGCTTGACTGTCCTCCTGCTGCGAAGAAGGAGAGGTTAGGTTCCCGCTGCTTACTCCACATTCTACATCAGCCATGAGGAAAAAGCACACTACATTAAATCCTGTGTATAATCTTCATTCATTTCCTAAAACTTCATAGTAATCATCATTAATAAATGGTACAATGATATTTCATTTTTACTTTCTTTTTTACAAACAATTAGATAGTTAGTAATAATGTTTACTAATTATTAGTAGTGCTATATTTTATTTTGACAGTTTACTGATGCCTAATAATTGGGTTCTATTAACAATAGTCAAGGATTTTATAAGGCCTCAACTGATTATTATAATATTGTGTTAAATGGTTAATACATATTTTACATTTACCCACAATACTAAAATAGGTCCATCCATCTACAGTATGTCACTTTTATGAAAGTTTTACAAATCATTTCTTAAAGTTTTACAAATGATTTGCTCATTAATAATAATGCTTAATATAGTAGATTGTTTTGATGTGTGAAGCAATAAGCGTTATATAGTTTACTAATGTAATTGTTATTGTTACTTATATTAACTATAACAATTACAATGTATCACTTATAAACGAATTATGTCATATAATACAAACTTAATGAAATAACATAATTTATAGCATTACTAATAATCAGTCATCCATTATTTCATTGTTTGTTTTGTTGACTAAATTATTGGATTAAGTTTAATTAACTGTTATTAATTGTCATGGATCAATTTAATTACACATTTTATAAACCGCAAATGGTGGGAAATGCAAAGAGAGCGGCACATGACGCACGTGATGATTCACATTGAATCTGCTGCATGTGAAAACGTATTTAGTAAGAGGCAAGACATCAAGACAAAACAAGGTTAAACTCATGCTCTTTGTCATTGTCTCTTTTACTGATTCATCCAAATGAAGTATGACTTTGCAGGATATCCATGTTTCCACATATCACAGCAAATAAACACATTTCTGTGTTTAACTGCAAACAAAAGTTTAAAAAGGACAAAGAGGCGTTTACTTAGCTAGGTTTCCTAAACAGAGGTTTCTAAGAAATGGTTGCCTTAGTCACAGATGTTCTGTTTATGCTATTCCTGGGAACAAATCTACAAAGTTTCCTGCTACCAGTAGAGGCTTCACAAAGTGACTCTGGAGTTATTCAATCATTTAAGGTGAATGGTTGGCCTTGTCTTAATGATTTACATTTTTATTTTATAAAACAGAGAGACGTCCAGAAAAAAACCCTATTTAGATGATACTGTAATAATAAACCCAAATAATAAACATTTTCAGTCATTTTGTCTAATTTGGTGTCCCAGTATGGGGCTTGGGTGTGAAGCCTGGCTGCTTAAGATACACATTGCACAAATAGCTCATATGTAATTGATTGGCTGCTAGAGGAAAATAAAAATGTTGACACTAAGTGCAGGCCATGAGCAATTTTGTGTTTCACCCAACACGTGGATCGCTAAGGATACGGGCAATCTTCCTTGGCAAATCCTGGACACAAAGATGTAAATCCTGGGACTATTTGCAGAGTCATTGCTTTGACAGATCAAGGGAGCTGGGAAATATAAACAGAGCATATTCTGTAATTGCGGCAGCTCTGGGCTGTGCGCTGATGCCACCCTGAAGGCGCCGCTTTGATGGTCTACGGTACCTTCTCAGGGAAGTTTCCATTCTGATCCTTAGTCTGAGGCATATATGATTCTGCATGAAGGGTGTACAGAAACAGAGACTTGTAAGTTTATTTTTGAATCAGTAATTTTACGGTACGTAGAACAACCTTGTTTGTCCATGATTTAATACAACTAAACTCACCAACGGTTATGCGTCGTTGTCGTGGCGACCCCTCCTCTTCCTGGTGGTCTGTGGACTCGGTTGAAGAGTTGAAAGTGGCGCTTCTGGTCATTGTGTCCACCAGACTGCAGGAGCGTGTTATCAGCCTCTGTTATATAATCTTAGGTTTTAGTTAGCAATACACTGACAATCCAGCCAAGTCTAATACATTCAAATCAGTAAGTATTTTCAAGAACTACTACAAGGTAGTAATGTAAATCAGATTAAACACATTTCTTCCAGGAATTTGAAGTAACATATAAAGGCCCACAGAGCATGTCATATAAACTATAAAGACATCATGAGAAAAGCTTTTGGTAATTTCACAGTCTTCTTACCATTTGGTGAGTAAATGTGTCCATGTTGGCAGCTTGAGGAAGCAGACAGAGTTCAGCTCTCAGCAAATCAGAGCAGGTCACATCTTTATTGCTCATGTCATCTGCAAACAGAAACAGGAACCTATTAAGTTAATAAATATTGATCTATTTTAGTCACTGACTGTATGAGAAACAAGTACTTTTTTTCACCCTTTGAAGCCACTGTATTCTTATGGTTTAAGCCCTTCTGTGCCTTTTTCTGGCGTACAGGTCACCAGGTTTATTTACAGTGCATTAGCTGCTGCTGATACTGGACACAACTCGATTGGGTTGCTTGGCAACCTGTCATGCACTTTAATGTCCGTCTAGTTGATGACATACTTTTCTTTCAACCCAAGTTCTTTCCCACAGAAAGCCTGTATTCTTACATTTTCCGAATGTCACTTGGTCATCGAGCAGATATTTTTTTTTTCTGCTATCATAACAAGCAAGACGAATGAGGCTGTGAATATGGCATACAAGCTAGGCCCTGGCTTTCTCAGGCAACACACTGATGTGATAGATGTTGGAATGTTTGCAGCTCCGAGTTGTAACTACTTAAAGTTGTATATCTTCACAGATTGAAGCATATCAAGCCCTTTTACAGTTTAAAACAGTAGTCTTTTCAAATAGTTTAGCCAGCAAAAAAATGAAGCCTAATTTCTTAAACACATGTTTTTCATTTCAGGGGCCTGTTTCTGAAAGGCTGGTTTGACATGGATGGGAGTTTAGATGGAGTCAGAATCAGATAAGACGGTGTAATTGGTTTATGTGTGTCAGCAGTGGAATCATGTCTGGGTCCTGGAGAGATAGTGGAGTATAGGGAGGGGGGCAGCGAGCTGACACTCTCTTCATCACCTGACTGGCCAGTGAGTCAGTCTGCAGAGGATCAGAAGAACTGCCCTACAGCTAGGGAAGTTCAGAACAATCTCCACGCAAAGCACAACTTTCTAGACTGAGAAAAGCGATGAGTCTTGGCTCAAAGTGATGACATTTAGGAGCAACCCTTCTTTAGCTGACCTCAGACACAACAGTGTTTGTATGAAATCCTGAGAAAAATCATTTCCAGTCTCGCTCAGTGACTTCTATTCACCATGCATGGCACAATATGGAGAGCTGTCTGAGAATGCAAATGGAGGGTAGCAATAGCATTACACCCACCCTACCACAGCCATATTCAGACTTCACACAGCCTGCAGCGTCCAGGAAAAGTACCGTCAAAACAAAGAAGGACAGGGAATTCTGGGCAGGTTTAGGGACACAGCCTGATGTTGCCTTGGAGAGATGGACATCATTCCAAGTCTGAGTTGGCTTAGTCAGGACAAGTCAAAGCATGACTGAATTCTCTCACCCTCCACTGGTTAGTAGAGACAAACCCATTGCATCCTTTGCACGCACACACTCAAACACACTGAGCAATCTATGGTTAGTGCGTGACAACATTTGTAAACCAGACACACATACTGTAGGGTTAATGATAAAGCGCAGTTTTAGAGTCCGAACTTTTCAGCACATTTATGTAATAGATAGGCAAATGCGATGCTTATCGTTTCCAGTATTATTGTCCTCCTCTGGTTGAAAAGAAATTAAGCTCTTTGAGAGACGGCTGAGGGAGGAGAGCATGCTGAGTCACAGGAACCTAAAACCTGGGAACCGCCTGCCCAGCCACGCACTGGGAATACACACACAATGGCTAAAAAGGGAATCCAACAAAGGGGAACTTCTGCAATTCCCAAAGGAAGCGTTCGAGGTACTGTAGCCATGTCACATAATGACTGCAATTTCATCTGAATGGGGAACTGAGATCAAAACGAAGAGGCAACACATGAGCTCAACAGCTGGATGGAGCGAACCATCATCTGGTGCCATTTACCTCTCACCTAGAGTTTTGCCTAAATGGAAACAGAAAGGTTGAAACACAAATACTTGCACATTTACCTCAAGAAAACTCACCCAAGTTGTGCTCAGTAAATGACAAAAGATTTATCCCAGTGTTGAAGCTCCCTGTGACAGAGAAAGAAACCAAGAACACCTTTGTGACTACAGTTTTCTTTGGAATAAAAAGCATTTAAGAACATGGGGGCTTTTACCCTAACCCTAAAGACAAATATGTATTGTTTTAACTTGGGTCAGATGAGAAGAAAAGTTTTAAACATTGAGTAACTAAGGCTCGTTCTGATGCTATCTACTTTGACTAAACATCACAGAGGTACTACGAACACCCAGAAAGTAATTTGACATCAATTGTCTCATCTGTATCCTAATAATAAAGCAAACCACTGGGGTTGTCACTTTTAGACTCACTTTTCCGAGGGTACTCAGGAAGAGGCGCCACCTGGTAGGCGCTACGTAAGAACTTGGACTTTGCTTTTTCTTTATCCATCTCTTTGGTTGTCACATATTCTCTCTCTTTCCCTGACTCATCACTTGGGCTTTCTTTAGACTCATTTGTCTTATCTGCAAAGATCTTATTCTCAGCCAATGTGATGTCTTCCTCTGTCTCCACACTCTCCATCTTTTCCTCATAGCTTTCCGGTTCCCCAGCAGCAAGGCTTCCATCACTGCAAGACGTATTCACCACACTTTCCTCCGAGTTGATATGAAAGAACTGATCGTCGTCAACGACATCAGAGGGAGAGGGGGGGATCAGATTAATGACAGGGGGTGTTAGGAAGCTAGCAGTGCTGCTGTCACACAGCAACAGATCTTCCTCCTCTTCTTCATTATCTTCTTCACTTGTGGAAGTGATGGCCTGGGACTTAATCGGGAGTGAAGAGAGAGGCTTCAGTTGTTTCTTTTTCAGAGTCCTCGGGCAGCCAGACACAGAGCTGGCTGAGCGGGCCACGCTGTTCCTGGAGGTCACGGGTTCCTCCTCCAACAGGCTGAAGCCGGCGTTAACTATACCCAGATCTTCTACTCTAATCTGGATAGCCTCCCTCTCAACTGATCCCAGTTGATCCAAGTGTGGATGCTGAGGGCCCCCATTAATCTTCTCTTCCTGCTCCTGCAGAGGATCCTTTTCCTCACCGCGCAAACACGAGCAGCAGAGCAGCCTGCGCGAAACACATGGAGCGCTCTTCCTCCACGAGCGCCTACGAGGCCGCTGTTTCTCTGCATTACCACCTGCCATAGCTGCTTGCCTGTCCATACACTGGCTATACTGCCTAACACACAGTTTGATCAGATAAACCTCTGCAGACTGAAGAGCAGACAAACAACCTCTGAGATATAACACTGCTCCGTGATAGAAGCCACAGCGTCCGCACTCAACACAAAGACTCATCTGCAACATGTGTTGCTTAGGGAGAGGAGGGAAATAAATAAACCAATTCATGCCACGGGTCAGGTGAACACTTGAAATGAATGCTGGGCTTAATAAGCAGGCTTTTGATATGTTAAGCAGCATCATTGTAGATACAGCTCTGGTTTCAAGGTCTCTAATAAGACAGCAACACCCTGCCAAAATAAAATCTTGGCAAATACTATATGAAAAGTATCTACAAGAAAGGCCATTTGTATGATTATACTGCATGTATGTGTGTGTTAATGCAAGTGTTTGTGCATGTGTCAGGGCATGTGATTATATTATTAAAAGTCAGTGTTGAATTTATATGTGGGTTATTTGTCACGACCTACAGCGTGTATGGTAACCGCCGGTGAGAATATGGGCTGGCGGATGCTTGGCTCAGTCAACCCCTATGGCATCAGATGTCATTTCCTTCATTCCACAGGCCCAGTCCTGTTCTCTGCTACATGATAAGTCATCCAGCATCAACTAAAAACCTTTTTGCCACACCACCCACATTGAGGGCTTGTGTAAAAAGATGATATCCGTGTGTTTTTCACACACACATAACGTGACAGTAGAGTAATGGGAATAATTACTCGCAAGTAAAAGTATTCACCTCTCATCTTGCAGCCTGTCTTTGGAGTGAAGGCAACCTGCTACTGTTTGTTTATTTAACTCTTTCATTACTCACTTCATGTTCTACCATTTCTCTCCCCACCACCTTCCCCTTTAAGTAATTAAGCTCAGGCGTTTACAACCCATTTCCAATAGGCAACATGTTTACCTGCTTACACTGAGTAAAACGTATTAAGTAACTTCCTTCAGTTTTAAAGTTATTCTATATTTATTCCGTCATAAAACTAAGAGCCAATGTAATATATTGCCAGCATTCATATGGAAAACTCCACTATGTTTAAATTAAAATCTACCACAAAGGTTGCCTTAATTGGGGCTTTAACAACACTGACTATTTCTTTCCCAAATAAAAGCTGACCTCAGAGTCAGACACAGTAACTATGCTTAAATTAGGCTAAACAATTTGTTGGCGTGCAGTAGTATAATTTCTGCACACTGGCAGCAGATAGAAGCAAAAGCAGTTCAACCTTTTTTTCCTGAACACCCTGTGCTTTTCAGGTAGTCGAGTTCCAATGAGACTTAGTTGCTAGGCACAAATTACAGCACCTCGAGGTGATCTCAGTGGGAGGCCAGCTGACTATTGACAGACTTAATGCAGGGCTGAAGACTCTTTGTAGGGGAATGAAAAGTGATTTTATACTCATGTCACTTCCATTGGGAGTAAAGGTGATATGAAGTGAACAATGTGGCCTCACAATTAGTGACAGATGAGAAACTATTGGTGATCGGTTTCCATTGATTTTGAGCATGATACGGCAAAACTAAGAGGCCAAGACACATACAAGCTGATAGCTATTTGACATGCTTTAGAAAAAAATGAAAACCTGCCTTCCACTGCAAACTATTTTTTGGAATGAAGGATTCAAGAGAAAATATATAAAATGTATGCAAATGATGCAGTGTTGAAAACAAGTGTGCATTGTTTTACAAGTAAGTGATTATTAGAAAATAGGGATCTGTGATCCTTGTAAATACCGCATGCCCAACAAAGGGGGGCAGTAGAGAGCAGACACACAACACTGACAGAACATAAAGCAGAGCCCACCACTTCTTTGAACGACCTCCTCTGGTATTCACAAGTCTGGATAAAGTTAAACCACACAAGTGCTTTTCATTCGCAGCCCAGTCAGACTGGCTTTCATGATATCTTGATCTGGTGTTTGCAAGAATATCAAGTTTTGTCGTAATCCTTTTTACATGTTGTTTGAATATACATAAGCAGTAGGGGAACAAAAATATATATGTAGGATTAATGTCCCATCTCCTTTATACAGGATATGTTTAAAATTAGCCGGAAATCTGCAACCTTACTGGCAGATTTATGAAAAATGAGTTCCTTATGATAAATGTTGAGGGACAATGTAAGTGACAGACAGACAAAAGAAGAAATGTTCCCAAGCTGCCATAGTTTGGGGCCATCTGTGGGATAGATGACTGGTATAGACATGGAAACCAACCTGTCTCCGCTTGCTGAGTGAAATGGGCATTTAAAGCTATTCTAATTATTTATCTTGAATGCAGCCTCTTGGGCTTGTATGATTTTTTGCTGTGCATTTGTGAAGTTACATCACAGTTCATCATTGCACTTGAGAAAGCCTGCATGTCCAGACATAGGTCCGTGAGTATCTGGAAATGCTCTGAGTGTTTTTTCTGCTCTCACTACCAGAGAGTGGTAGATTCTGGACAGCCCCCAGACCGCCGTGCAGCCAACATCAACACCACCTCACCTCTGGGAGGGCTCCTCTCTAAAAACACCCTCACCTCGTGCTCAGTTGCAGCACAGTGAAACATGTTGAACATTTCCTGTGACAGTCATGTTTCCATAGGCTTCAGGACTCTGGGTTCAAAGTCAGCGGTAGGTTTTGTGGTGAACATAACCCTGTTTGGCCATACTGAGAACTCACACAGTCAAACAAAAAAAGAAAGAAGTTGAGGCTCTTTCTCCACTCTAATTCACTGAAGAGGAGAATTGTTCAACCAGTCTGTAATTGCACTAAACAAGACAGCAGTCACTTTCCAAAGGAAAGGCATGTCACCTCTTCCTGTGAAACCAGGAGGAATGGTGAGAGTCATTACTGCAGAATAACATCCACAACTTTTTTTATATTGTCATGGATGTTGAGCAACCGCGGAGGGCCAAACAACGCAGCGACATTCTTAGAACAGCTAGGGGGGTCTACAAAAATAAGCACGCTCAACCGAGGATGATGAGTTGCCAATTCAACAGATCATGAATCCCTTTCACCACCGAGTTTCTCTTAAACAGATTCATCCATTTTGCTTACACAGAATTTCCTGTTTGTGCACGCCACCACCAAACCTCTTGGATGTCGTACCGAGTGTGCCAAATATTCGCAGTTTCCCCTCTGGCTGATACCTAATAGCATGAGAAAAAGAGTTTGTCGGGGGGAGGGAGAGGGCAGTGACCTTGAGAACTTCTGGGTTGAACTTTCCCCTCCACCCCCCCCCCCTCACCCGCCAGTCCTGTGCTCCCTAATCAATTACTGTTGGCAGTCAGGAGACCACCAATGATTAGCAGCAGCAAGGCAAACGTGGTTAGGGGGTTGTAGTGTGGGATGTGGGAGGGTGGCGCGTGGGGGAAAGGAGAGGAAAGAGGTCCCTACAACGGCTTTGATCAAAACGCTGCCTTGAGAAAAGCGTAAGGCAACAGGACCCCCCTGGTTCAAATGACCCTTGAACAGTCTTATTTATCTATGGGAATGAAAGAAGGCATCCTTTTGTGTTTTCGTCTCTCAGTCGCACTTGAGCGGACAGCTGTGGATCCAAAATAGTGTTTACACTCTCACACATGCACAGTAGAAACCAGCCGAAACCAACATGCTCAGAGGCAACAACAAAGAAACACCGCACATAAACACAAACCTTTTTTGTTGTTCAGGTCTTTGAAGCAGCAGGGAAATAATTGACTGGCCCTTTTTTTATGAGAATCTGTGCTGTTCCCACGCCCAGTGTGGCAGGAAAGCTCACCAAAATCATTTGTCTTAGATTGGCTGATTGGCTTGCTGGAATCTGAGTATGTCTTTGACGGAGATGGAAGTTTAATTTGACGAGAGGAACTCTCCCACCACACCCACTCACAGCCAGCCTCCTCTCACTTTTATTCTTTACTTTTCTCTTCATCTCCAATTCTTCCGTCTCTCTGTCCTTTAAGTTTATCTTTTTATAGAGTGAGAGAGAGCAAAGGGGCCCAGACTCCTGCAGTTGTCAGAAATGTTTGTGCCATTAATTCTCTTCATCTTGTTTTATGGTAAGACGGAGAGAGACAGTTTATGTATGAGGGGGTAAAGAGTGAGTCAGATAAACAGGGAGCAAAAGATTAAATAAAGAAAGATAAAAGAGGAAGAAAGAATTAAAGACAGAAGATATGAACCAGAGAAGCCCTCACTCCATACAACACAGCAGAGTGTTTGAACCTGCATTACATGACGTGGCTTCCTCCAGGCTCTCCATGGCCAGCCCTTTCTCCAACTCTTCCTTCACACAATTAATGGCATTATGAGCGCCACTGGAAAGCTTCAGCTAAACATTCATGTCTACAACTTTCCCATGGGAACACCATTTTGTGTGGATGCCAAGCACTCTTAAGTGACAGGGTTATCTTTTTTTTGCTGATGTTCTCCTTCTGGGCTTGCACTGTTGAGATAGCTTTAAGGTAATAAAGTTAAATTAAATTAAGTTTTATTTGTTATTTCAGAGCCAACAAGGATGATCATGATACATCACCGAGCAATGCATGCTGGACTCGGGCAGTTTTGGAATCCAGTGCGTGGTATTGTTGCTGCCCTGGGTTTGTCTTTGTCATGAGATGTTTTTCACAGCCAGACAAGTATGGTCACTGCGTTGTCCGAGGCCAGAGCATCTGAGCCTCATCAGGCAGGCATTTCAAAGCTGCTGTCATGGGTATTTAGAAAGGGGCAGACAAAGGACAAAGGCCGACCATTGGCAACTTGTCCATTTTGTAGCCCCTTTGAGGTTTCCTAACGATGCCTGTGCCCTCATAGAAATCACTGCAAATTAATTTTAACACTCAGTGAAAAGACACATTAGTGCCGAGAGGATGGCACAAAGGGTGTTAAATATGGGGAGCAGCATGCTGGACCACAGGCCAGGCCGGGGACACATAGCCCACAGCTGCCAACACTGACCTATTTTCACCAAACCAGCTTAAAGATTTTTAGCCTCCT